CAGCTCAGCCCTTAGTTATGCTGTCATAGGACCAGACTGCTGGGGGTTAGTGTGTCGTCGTCGTCCCCCCCCCCGTCTGTCTCTTTCAGGGTTATGCAGGCTCAGTATTGGTTGAAGATGCAGTCACGTCTCCTTTTACTAAAAACTCTCCCCCTCTCCACCATCTGTAAACACACATGTCTCAGTAATGCAGTTCATGCATGTTACTAACTAAACTTCTTCCCTGGAGTTTCTGAGCTCTCTCATCCAGCAGGTTCTGAAGGATCGTGGCTGCTGCTGTGGTCCTGCTTGACGTCTGCTTCATATATTATTACTCTCTGACTTGATTAGATTCATTTATATTACAATGAAGGTGTATAAAGCATGACATGAATAGAGAAGATATTTCATCCTAAAAAATTGTCATATGTCACAACCTAAATGATCCTATTTTGTGTGTGTGTGGTTGTGGTTTGTTGTGTTTTTCTCCTGACAGTGGCAAAGTGTGGGATGACACATGGGAACCTGTGCAGTTTTACACACAGTAAACCAGGCACCACAGGTGGCAGAGATCGCACAGTTCACAGTTTGTAGTTCAGCATAAAAGTTCAAAATAAAATATTTACTGTACAATTCTAACCAGTGTCAGTCTCTGTTTCACTCTCTAACTTTGGCTTAAGTACATAAAACACTCATGAATCTGATCCATCAATAATATCTTCCCAGCACTCGATATCTCATAGTTTTACATATCAGCCAACATTATTGTCTACATGCTCATAAATATAGAAGTGACTTGGCTATTGTAACATATTGCAAGTTAAAGCAATACTGCACTGCACGTAAAGTAAGTAACATCTTGTATGAGGTGATTAGGGTCAGCAGTGCTGTGTATGGGAGCCTAAAGCAAAGCTAACTGCACCAGTACCAGCTTCACAACATGTTGTATATTATACGTTTCTACCTGTTTGTAATATGTCATCTGTCATGTTTAGATGCAGTGACAATTGCACATTTGGAGTCGTGGTCATATGTGGTTTTTATATACAGGGTATTATTTTTTTCTTTTAATTGTCATTTTTTTCTATTTTTCTTGTTTTTTTGCACATCATTATTGTGTGCATATTGCATATGTAACATTACTTTTATTGTTAATATTATAATTAGATATCAAAGATACAATTTGATTAAGGGTTTTCCTGTCAAAATGTCAATAAAAATGCAATTACACGCGTAAACAATAGGATCAAAATACACTTTTAAAAAGTCTGTTGATCAAATACTGATTTTCAAAACATTCTAGAGGAAAACAGAGATAAAATAATCTGAATACTAACAGTGATCTTGGATGATGATGGAGGCTTGAATGGATTATTCTGTTTCAGTCAATAGGTTCATATCTATGACAATAATTTGATAAGTTTAACAGGTTGGTTCAGGCCTGGCAATACAGCAAATATTCACAAACTTTTGTTTTTGAAGAATGCTGATCTTTTTTGGGATGAAGCTATCTGGCAACATGACACAGCCCTTTAACCTCATCTGTATGTCTATCATGTGGCTATGGAACTGGGTTTTGGTTTGATGCATATGCAGGTTACAGCTGGGGAATGGCTGTATGCTGTGGATTGATTTGACATGTTCAACCACTGTTACACCAAACTCTCTCACTTATAACATGATCAAGGCCTCTTACCCAATGTCATGGATTCTCTGTAGTTTTGGGGACACAGGTCCAAAGTCTGAGGCAGTAAGTCAGATCAAAGAAGGCCATGATTCTAAAATGGGAGTTTACTCGTGTCATTGTATATATCCAGGAATATGTGCCTGAGGATAGTTGTCATGAAATCAATATTAAATCAAAGTTTTCCTTAATGACCACAGCTGGCATGAGTTCTCCATAGCTGCCTGCTGTCTCAGGATCTGTCTCCAAAAAGAACCAGGGAGCACTAATATGTTATGTTCTAAACTGATGAAGAAAATGCACATTAAACATAGTATAAACTTACTGAGTGAAGTAATGTGAAGAGGATGCCTTTAGCTGCTATTGGGTTGGTTCCTTGATCAGTGCAATACAGAATCATTAATCTGGTTTGATGTAATGTCCTTAAAACACGTCAAAATGAGGCTCTGTAGTCTGTGTGGCCTCCACATGCCTGTATGACCTCACTACAACACCTGGGCATGCTCCTGATGAAGTGGCAGATGGTCTCCTGATGGATCTCCTCCCAGACTCCAGGACTAAAGCATCTGCCAACTCCTGGACAGTCTGTGGTGCAGTTGGTGGATGGAGCGAGACATGATGTCCCAGATGTCCTCAAATGGATTCAGGTCTGGGGAATGGGCGGGCCAGTCCACAGCATCAATGCCTTCGTCTTGCAGGAACTGCTGACACACTCCAGCCACATGAGGTCTAGCACTGTCTTGCATTAGGAGGAACCCGGGGCCACCCGCACCAGCATTTAGTCTCACAAGGGGTCTGAGGATCTAATTTCAGCACCTAATGGCAGTCAGGCTACCTCTGCCGAGCACATGGAGCGCTGTGCGGTCCCCCAAAGAAATGCCACCCACACCATTAGTGACCCACTGCCCAACCATCATGCTGGAGGATGTTTCAGGCAGCAGAAGGTTCTCCAATATGTCTCCAGACTCTGTCACAAGTACTTAGTGTGAACTTGCTTTCATCTGTGAGGAGCACAGAGCACCAGTGGCAAAGTTGCCAATCTTGGTGTTCTCTGGCAAATGCCAAACATCCTGCACGGTGTTGGGCTGTAAGCACAACCCCACCTGTGGATGTCGGGCCCTCATACCACCCTCATGGAGTCAGTATCTGACCGTTTGAGCAGACGTGCATATTTGTGGCCTGCTGGAGGTCATTTTGCACGGCTCTGGCCTTTCTTTCCTACCCCACAGTACCTTTCCTTATTTTTGTTTCCTACTCTTTTACTTAGTCTTTGATCACGGTTGTCTTTCTAGATAATTAATGTCATTTGTTCTGGGGCGAGTCACTGGCTCGGGTGCATTCTGGGACTGTCAGTTCACCAGTGTGCTGGCATACTTCTTAACAAACACACCACTACAGCAAACATCTCAGTTGCACTTGTTGATTTCTTCAACAAAACACTGAACAAGAAATGTCCTTGTGAGTGTGCTGCCTGGTGCTTTTACATTTTGTGGTAATTTGAGCAGCCCAGAAAGCATCCCATGAATTAAATGATGTTATTGTATCTGAACATGTGCACTAGTCATTAAATTAGATGGGAAAGAATGATTCAGGGTAAACAACTGCACCAAGGGAATTACATTTTTCTTCTCAACATGTAAAATGTCTGTTGATAAGCAATTTCTGAAACAGACATTATAAAAATCACATTAAACAGATGTGATTAACTTTTTATTCTAGCAAACATAACATCAATGATGACACAATCAGTCTTCATCAGAAGTGCTCAAATCACTGTCAGAGGCATCGTCTGGAACGTCCTCCTCCTCCTCCGAGTCCATTTCCAGGAGTGGTTGGTGGCTGAGGATTCTCTTGTACACGTCCTTTACTTTGAGCGTTTCAGCTTTCAGTTCACTTTGTTGTTTTAAACCAGGCTATGGAGTCCTTTCTGTGCATCCTCCGACATGCCAACAAGGGAGGCTGTAAAAACAACAAAACTATTAAATATAAGTAAAACAAACAAACAAACAAAACTCACCTCATAAACAAGGAATTAGGATCATGTAATTAAGCTTTTTTTTAATGGAGAAGGCAGTGTTAGCTAGCAACCCAAATATAGGTAAAAGATCCAGTAAGACTTTAGCATCTGCTCTTATTTTCAATCAATTCATCACCAAATGTATAAATAAATAAAAGATGTGCTTACAGTCTGAGGAGATTGTCCCCAACACCACAGATCGCATTCGCAACACTGTCCAGTGATGCTGCATCTCCCTGCAAAGGATCATCTCCTCCTCTCTCAGGCGCCTCACAGCCATCACCTTCTCAAAGACCTTTCTCTTTGTCCGGAGGTCAGCAGCAGCTACAGTTTAACAACATCAGATGGGAAAACATAAATGATTCAAGAACAAAACATTCAACTGCTGCTCAGATACTGGGAGTTTGTTTAAAAAGGATATTTAGAAATCAAGAGCTTACGTTCACTTGTGCTCTGCCAGGGCCAAACGTCGCTCTGCATGAGGGCATCACTGGATACGATTTGCTTTGTTGGTTCAGCGAGCTTGTTGTAGTCGTCAACAGCAGCCGCCAAGCGTTTCTTCTCATCTAAGATGACCTTGTGAATTCTGTGTCGCCTCTTGTTGCTATCTGTAAATAATCATAAAAAGGAACACCTTCACATAATGCATATATTTACATTTTAATCTACACTAATCAATTTGTTTGCCAGAACAAATCACATCCAGCTTAAACAAACCTGGATCTGATTTTATTCTGTTTACAAAGTAGCTGCACAAGCTGTACAAACTGAGCATCAGACGGTCCATTTCAAAGAAACTGTGACACCATTTTGTCTGTAAAGACTTTGTGTTCGCACTCTGATGATGACGACAAGCTCCTCTACTCGTGCCTGCAACGCTCCAAGGCTGCCATCAGTTTGATCCGTTTCTAAGTGAGAGGAATATTAATCAGAACACAGGATGAGTAACAGTCACCAAACTACAGTGGACTCTGTAATCACTGACTTGATGATATTCATTATAAGACATCTGGAGCCTTCATGTGCTGCATTATCATGAGATAACGAGTATGTTGGTGTTCAGCTTTATAAAACCAACTAGTACGACATCACTTCAACCCAGGTCCAATCCAATTTGATCAAACGCAACGACTCTGCCATCAATTCTGCTTTTACAAGGCTTATTTTTCATTGTTTGTTGACACTGTCAGAAAGATCTTAACTCTAAGTTCTTTAATGAGGCCATGGTGGATCCTGTTGTTATACACGAGTGCATTATATTGAGACTCACCTTCAGCCCATTGCTACACATCGGCCACCCATTGCTGCAGTGTGTCATCATCCACACCCAGCTCATTTCTGCTCGCATTCAGGCTCTCCACTTGTTCTCTAAGGATCCTTATGATCTAAGAATACATTAATAAATGTCATTCATATTGAAATTTTTAGAGTACTGGTGTTTCCCCCATTACCACACACATTAAAATGGGTGTTGAAAAAATGACCTTTAGATATCTCTGGCTCAAAGTGCGGCCCAGTTGTTCCACTTTCCTTTTGTTCCAGCCCAAAGCCAGGAGGCTCAGCATGTCTGTTCGCCCTGCATTTCAGTTAGTATACAAATAAGAATGAATGAGCAGGAGACTGAGTGGAATCTCACACACAGACACACACCTGCTTTAGACATGTACTTCGTTGTGATGGCCGCCCTAGACAGGAAACTGTTTACTTGCTCCACCTCTTCTCCAACTGTAGAACCGGCCGCATCCTGAAACACACCTCCCCATTTGATCTATAGAAAGGAGGTCACAATACATGACTGCTGAATTCATTCAACCTTATAACAAAATGTCTTAAACTTATCCAAGACTACAAGCTGCAGTATACCTCGCATATCCAAGTGTGAGCTTTAGCATGCATGACAGAGAGAAAAGGACGCATTGACAAGAGGTTCCTCAGCTCAGGGCACTGCTGAGCCACATTGGTTAAATATGGGAAATATTTACAGGCCACATCGGAGCAAAGGAACGTAATATGTCCTGGGACGCTAGCTGCCAACTTCCTCTGGAGAAAAAGGGGGTAAGCAAAGATCTCCCCTCGAAACATGTTCAATGCAGCTAGGAGGACTAACAGCAAACAAACAGCTCTTTCCATGCCCTCTTCATCCAACTTCCCAGTGGACTTTTTGCTCGACTCCTTTGCTGCAGTCCAAGATGAAGATCCACACAACCCTTTCCCTGGGACCTACACACTCAAAGATTTTAACATAAAAGACTGATTAAGCCCTATCAGGGACAAACTTTTTAAAACAAATGCATAACAATTAGCTGAATTAGCCTCGAGTCACATAAGACCTCATATCTCCCCAGGACAGCACTGATAACACAAAATAAAAATCATGTTGTTTTTTTTAAATACACATGGTGACAAAATTAAGTACACATTAAGATAAAGTAAATGGTATTACGACAACACCAAGAGAAAAAAAAAATATATTGACCCATCCATATATGTCTACACACACACACACACACACACACACACACACACACACACACACACACACACACACACACGTATGTGTATATGGTTACGGCATTAACGTCATTTTAACAAGATTAACGCTGACAGCGCTGATATATATGTGTATCTTACATCATTTGTGTGTCTCTGGATGTATGTCACAAACTCAGCAACTTCCTCATCTTTCTCAATGAAGACACCTTCAAAGTTCCCCTGCTCTGAAGTGCTGAACGAACACAGTGACAGTTGTTTGAAAAGAAACATCAAAATACAATTTTTGTACAAATCCATATTTGATTTATGTCCACAATGCATAACGTACCTTGCATTTGATTGAAAGCGATAAAGCTTGCGGTTTCCATCAACTGACACGGCGAGCATGTCTGGAGTGCAGGCAGGGCAGCTAAAGCATGGCTCCTTGCACATCCTGTCCACCTCACACTTTACAGCACTCCACTCCAAGAAACTTTTACTGAAGGCATCAGCTGATATTCGGCCAGTCTTTTAAGTAGAGGACAAACAACAGAATATTCAAGGACAGTCATCATAAACATTGATTTGCACAATTTCCTTAAACTAAGCAAATTTAGAAACTCACCCTTCCAAAATGGGCTGTTCTTTCATCCAGCACTTTGACAAACGCCTTAAGTGACATCCCTGGTGCAGCTTCTTAATGTCATAGAAAGACTGAAAGACATCCATTGAAAACAGGGTGCAGAAATTTAAGGTGCCAGGCTAATATCCACTACCCTGGAAGTCCTTAACTGAGGGGGACCACATTAGGTCACAGCTGGTGCAGCTCACCACTGGCAGTGCAAGGTTATAACGGCCTTTAGGAAGGATAAGGAGAAATCCAGTCATGGCTCAAAGCATTCATTTTTTTCATGTTGTTTTCAAAGCGGTCTGGTAAATCCAAATGACCTTTGACAGGTGCCCACATATACTGCGGGCCGAGGGTAATTCAAAACAATGTAGCAATGTACAATTTGCAATAAAACCTGCAAACACATCTATTGTGTATGTACTGTGTGACAAAAGAGCAACTTACCATTTATGGTTACAAGAGCCACAATTGCACCGGGTGAAACCTCAACGTTACCTGCTGGGCAGTCACACACAGTCTGGCCTTTGCACAGGCAACAGCCGAACTAACAGTAAAACACACAATATATATAAAAAGAATTAGAAATTAACTGATACACAATAAATATACAATAACAGCACACACTCATAGTACATAGCAAGAAATGCATAGGACTTAAAAACCGTACCTATTGGATTGTGAAACTCTGATGAAGGCTGCAAAAACCCTCCTGTTACTGCCTCTCTGCTGTGCAGGACAAAGCGTGTGTGAACTGCAATATCACAGTCAGCACAAAGGAATGGAAGAGGCAGGCAGTCCAGGCACCTCACAACTACTTGTTTGCCACACTGTGACACACACAGTGTGACTGTGGATCCAGAGTAGCTAACATATTGTCTGTAAGACAAGGCCTGGCCTCTCTCGACTTTTGCAAGAACACCATGTTTCTGATCTCCCAGTGAGTAGGAGCTGACTCAGACGATGTCTCACAAGTCATGGCTGCGTCCTCTTCTCCATCCTCCAACAACTGAAGGAGCTCCTGACGAAGCACCTCAGTTCCACACACTAACAGAAAAAGAATAAAGAAAGGAAGAAACTCTTCCACAAAGTGAAAAACACTCTAGGCAGTATGTTTCTTAGGACTGCACAAAAGCCCTGCATAACTCAACTATAACAACAAATATAAAAGTAAACAGAAATCACAATATATACAAGAAGGTAAAGTACCTTTTGCTGGGTTGACACTGGCAACATAACTAGGTTCTTCACGTGGACATTGATGCTGATCTGCAGACACTGGGGGGAAAAAGAGATCGAAGAATATTTACTTACTGAAATTCTTTGGTGAAAACAAGTTGTGAGATAAAATCAATGGTTGTGAGAACACTGACCACATGGCAACTAGTACTTCGACTGGATGATGGTCTTTGAGGAATAAAATCTCCCTGTCTGTCACGTTTTTTCCAGTGCACTGGTCTTGGCTGAGGTTCACTCTGTGCATCATTCTACGCAATTAACAAGAAAAAATGCAACACCTAAAATACAGTCCATGATTAAAGCAAAGATTATCAAACATCTTAAGTTAACCAACTTAATTTCACATAAACTTTAAAAAAAATTCAAATAATATAACATTTACTCCGTACAAAATATTAGACAAGCGTGTTCCCTCTTTAACAATTGTTTCCACTACATCACATTAAAAAATGTTACCTGCATATCTTGAAGGAGTTCGTCAGCAGCTTGACGCTCTTCCTCCAGCTCTGATCCTCTGAATCACTCATTTTCAAACTAAAGAGCAAAGAGATTTTTGCAGAACTCAGTGACATAAATATGGGCTCAAAATGTGGTCATAAATATTTTGTACTTGTAAAAAAGATTTGTATGTGTAAAAAAGATTTGTGCGTGCGTAAAAAAGATTTGTATGTGTAAAAAAGATTTGTGCGTGCGTAAAAAAGATTTGTGCGTGCGTAAAAAAGATTTGTATGTGTAAAAAAGATTTGTGCGTGTGTAAAAAAGGTTTGTATGTGTAAAAAAAGATTTGTGCGTGTGTAAAAAAGATTTGTGTGTGGACTTAGGAAAAAAAACCCTGCAAGTTACAAGTACGGATTTTGACCCTATTTTTCTTCCTTTCATCTGATTGGTCAATGTCATGTCAATCACAAATGTAACAATCCAATCAGAGAACAGATGGGTTTGGCTGTCGGAGGGACGCTTTTTTGAACTGCAGGTCCTTGAAGGGTGATACAGTTTGAAGCTGGAGGATCGCTATATAAATATCCGATAGCAGCTAGGTCCCCTAACTTTCAGTAGCTGTTGAAAGGAAAAAGTTGTGGTATATCAGTGGTTAGAAATAACATTATTACTTTAGGATTAGTTTAACACAAAGTCAGGGCTGACCCAGGACCATTGCTGCTCACATCGGACGCAGGATGTGCTGCTAATGCTAACTAAAAGCAAAGGATCCAGAATTTGTTGTGCTGGCTGCTGAGCTCTGTGGGTTTTTGCACCAGCTCTACCTGCACTAGATGCACCTGCTCCTTGTCTTTTCTATCTCTGACTTTATGTCCTCTACAAGAGTTTTTTTTTTTTTTGCTGGTTCTTCAAATGTTCAATAAAAAAATGTATGCTAATTCATAACGAAGAAAGCTTTGTAATGAAGACTGTCATTTCCAAAACACCGCCAGCCCCCACCCCACGGTCTGCAGCGCTCTTGAAAAGGCTGTGGAAGTCCCTGTATTAAACACGTAGACCTGTGACACAAAAATCACCAAACTCGGACGACCACAGACTGTTTTCCTTCGTGGTGATGAAGGAAAACGCTGGGTTGGCATGTAAAAGGGCATTTATTCCCTTCAAAGACCTGCAGTTCAAAAAAAGCGCCCCTCGACAGCCAAACCCATCTGTTCTCTGATTGGATTGTTACATTTGTGATTGACGTGACATTGACCAATCATATGAAAGGAAGAAAAATAGGGTCAAAATCCGTACTTGTAACTTGCAGGGTTTTTTTTTCTAAGTCCACACACAAATCGTTTTTACGCACGCACAAATCTTTTTTACACATACAAATCTTTTTTACGCACACACAAATCTTTTTTACACATACAAATCTTTTTTTATGCACGCACAAATCTTTTTTTTACACACACAAATCTTTTTTACTCACGCACAAATCTTTTTTACACATACAAATCTTTTTTACGCACACACAAATCTTTTTTACACATACAAATCTTTTTTACGCACACACAAATCTTTTTTACACATACAAATCTTTTTTACGCACACACAAATCTTTTTTACACATACAAATCTTTTTTACACATACAAATCTTTTTTACAAGTACAAAATAATTATGACCACATTTTGAGCCCATACATAAACACATAACTAACACAACTCAAATGATTTTCAGTCTTGGTGCTCCGGATAATGTTAGCAATTAACGTTAGCATCATCAGTTTGTAAAGAGCTAGCAGAACTCTTAGCGCAAAAACTGCTTTAAGCACCATGTGAGGGTATTTTGCAGCACACAAGTCCTTTAACTTTTGTAATAGATTTAATCCATCATCGTTGGATTAAATGGCTAATGCTGCAGTAGACACGTGTAGTCGTTACCTAGCAAGCATGCTGACGGTAGCTGTAGCCATTTT